CAAGGGCTCATAGCATCCTTTTGTGCCTGCAGCTTGCAAGGCCGTTCAGGGTGGGTAACGTAGGTTCGCATCGTGTCGACCGGTGGCGACCTCGTCGCTGGCGTTCAAGAATCGGTCGATGTTGAACGATCCCCGTGGTGTAAAGAACCAATCGGCGTCACCCCAACATACTTATACTATATGTGCGTCGCCCCCCCAGGGGCGACGCGCGCACCGAGAAATATTTTAGTATATGCGTCTCGGCCGGCGCTTTCTGGCCACACCGCTCGGGAAACGATATACTACAAGATGGGTATGCTAAATGTTCGGGTCGGACGCGCGCCTCCAAGGAGAACATGTAGTACTAGTATGTCTTCATGTGTGTCTCAAACGCCGAAGTCGGCACGACACGAGCCTGCCGTAGGGTAGGTCTGCTGACAGACCCACCCTCAAGGGTTCGACCAGCCCTCCTCCGCATCTCGGGTGCATCACTCCTTGCAGGGCCCGCGGCTACTGGATACGAGCACGGGTGGGCCTGGGTATGAGTGGGTCCCTCTGTGAGTGAGCCCGAGTTTGATCGAGCCTCAGTGTGAGGGGTTGTGAATACGAGTGGGTCTGAGTGTGAGTGAGTCAGGTATGCGTGAGTCTGGATATTCGTGCGTATGAGTGCGAGTCTGAGTGCGAGCGAGTCCGTGCGAGTCTGAGCATGGATAGCTAAGTGACAGCGGGCACGTGCGAGGCTGAGCGCAGATGGCAACGTGAGTCTGAGCATGTGAAGGAGACGGCGGGGATGAGGGCGGGGAGAGGGCGCGCCACTAACAGCACTACCCCGAAATGTGGCATGCGGGGGGAAAGCTGGAGAGCTTCGTTTTCCCGTTTACGCCAGCGCGAGTTTGGATAACATTTTCGTGCCGCGCTCGTTCTGGGTCGCCATCCAGGCCAAAACAGTAACGACGCATCTCAAACGGTAAAGCTAACTAACCTCAATACGGCCAAAGAGACCTTCAATCGATGCCCCGGGAGACGTCCAAGAGACCCTCCAAGAGGCCCCCAACGTGCACAACTAATTTACATCCCAGGGTCTTTGAAGGGTTTTGGCACTCCACCTTTTCGGGCCTTCGACTCCAAGACGGCCACACATGCCTCAAAAAGATCGCCCCACAACGGCCCAAGAGGGTGTTTGTTGCCAATGCCGTGTGGTCTGTTTGCATCGATCGGCGGAGGTTCGGCCGCGCTCGCAGGACGGCCTGTTGAGCGGGATTGATTTGCCGTCTCGCGCGCGAGTGTTTGTCCGTGATGTGCGCGATAGGGATAGTCCCCCTCGAGCATCTGGAACATGTCTTGGGCACCAGGATTAAGTGTCCGACCCCCCCCGTCCCTGGCCGACTGGCCGACTGGCCGACTGCGGAGTCGGAAAGTTCTTTCCGGTGCCTCGAACATTGTCCTTCTCCGAGCGAGGGGCAGCGGATTCTTCCTCCTGCCTTGCCTGACTGCCTGGGAAGGGGAGACGGTCCAAGAGGGCCATGGGGCCGGACCGTCCAGAGGTGCAAAACCGGGAGTTGCTAGAAGTGCCCCTGGCCCAAGGTGCCCCAGGATTTCCGAGGAGGCCCCCGAGGCCTCCAGAGCACCCCTCACGAGGCCCAGAGGGGGAGCCCCAGGGGCTCCAAAGTGCTAGCGAAACGCTGGGGGTACCTTGGGCCAGGGGCACCTTCCCTGCACATCTGCCTTCCGTGCCTTCCGAGCTCCGCGGGAGGTGCGGAAGAGCGCGCCGAAGCGCACGGAAGCCCTGCGCAAGCCAAGGACACCCACGTTGATCCTCTCGAGGAGAGGAGGCGGAAGGCCTGGAAGCACGAGGGGGAGGGCCGAGCAGCCCCCGGACAGAAGCCCGGGGGCGCGCCGGGAAGATTCTCGACGGCGCGGCTTCCACGAGGCGCCAAGGTCCGCCCTGTGTGGGGGGGTGGTCTCGCCGGCGGCCCGCGCGGGGAGGAGGAGGAGGAGGAGGAGGAGGAGGAGGAGGAGGAGGAGGAGGAGGAGGAGGAGCTTCGGGGGGGGATGATGCGCAGGGGGCCGGCCCCGAGGTGGCGGCCTCGGTCGTGCGTGCGGCAGCGGGGGGGGGGCCAAGGGGCGTGGGGGGAGCTCGAGGAGTGCAGGGGAGTGGGCCCCCGGGAAGGATCCCACAGCTGGGCCGAGGTGCAAGATCGAGGTCGGTTCGGGCAGGGCGCCCCCGTGTTCTTCGTGCCTGCTGGACGTCCCTGTGCACCCTGGGGAGGGTCAGCCTCGGATGTTCTGCTTGCCTTGGCCGAAGGCGGGTCTCGTGTTGAGGGATGTTCTTCTGGCCCAGGTCCGACCGTATCGAGGAGTGCAGGGGAGTGTCAGGAGGGAAAGAAACACACAGACACAATTAATCGGCGATTCCCAGGAACATGCGGAAAAATATGGGAAGTGGGGGGGGAAGACAGAAACCCAGATAATATAGGAAAATATGGGGAATAGTTTTATTTCTGCGTATTTATTAGTGTGTCCCAGGCCCCCTTCAGACATCTGCCTACCCCTATGGCGGCCACCACCTTACCTCGGTGCCGATCTCGAGGAGTCCCTCGGTCGCGGAGGGCACATCCCTAAGGTTGACATCGCCTTGGGCTTGCCGATCTTGGAGATAGGGATACGTCCGAGACAGATTATTCTTCACCCCACGTGTATCGCCCCCCCCCGTCGACGAACACCCGACGCGGGCGCGCGCGCGCGCTCAGGCGCCCAGGCCGCGGACGACCCCGAGGGGCGCTTCTGCGAGCTCCCTTGGGGTGGCACTCGCGGGCGCCGTGCACTTCCGCGGCGCGCGAGCGCCTTCGCGCGTCAAGAAGCAGGGCCAGCTGCCGAGTCTCGGCCACGCGCAGAGAGGGGGTATCGGGGGCAACGATCGGTGCGATAGGGGGGATAGGCATAACTAGGGGGAACGCATCGACGACCCCCAATCGCCCACTGATCGCCGATAAGGGCCCGATATCGGGACGACCAGCATGGGTACGGAAAGAATGGGTACAATGCCCAACAGCAGTTCCTGTTCATTTTGAGCAGGACTCGCTGTCCGGGCCGCCGCGGCCTGTATCCATTTGAGACAGGAGGCCGCCTGCCGAACAGCGGCCGCTGTTGGTTTGGGGCAACATTTGTTGTTGGGCATTGTACCCATTCTCTCCGTGCCCATTTCGGGCGTCCAAACGGTAGCCCCTACCTGCCCAGGAAGGTGCGGACTCACGGTCGGAGGCCTAAAGCTGATCTATCGGCGATGTATCGCCGATTCCAGGTCGATGCATCCCTCCCTATGCCAGTCCCTCTCTATCGCTGCCCCTCAGGGTAGGGGGAGGGGGGAAGGCTTCTCAGAAACACCCCTGCCCCGAAGAGGGCGCAGGCCCTGTCTCTAGATCTCGGGCCCACGCCTTCTAGGAAGCAGCCTCCTTCGGCCACCGTGGCCGTGCCATGACTCGCACTGGCGCCTCCCCAACCCCTGCTCCGTGGCCACATGAGAACCCTGCCCCCCAGGATTTCCAGGGGGAGGGGGGGGGGCTTCTTTCGGGAGCTCCCGAGCGGAGTGTGATTCCCCACCCCTCCTTCGCAATCGCGGGGGGCGGGGGCAGGGTTCCCATGTTGCGACCTACCTGACCCGCCGCTTCCAACCCATCTCGCCCAGCGAGGAGGCTGGGTGTCGGCGGGGCTGCGGGGCGGGTGCCGGGGTTGCGGGGGTGGGGCAGTGCCGACGTCCACATGGATCCCCGCGCTGCGTTGACGCACGGTCGGGCCGAGGAGGTCGATGTCGGTTCGGGGAGCTCTGGGCCTCCTAGATGGGCTCCGAGTGGATGGGGTCGAAGAATGGCGCCGCATTGAGGATGCATCGAGCCCGATTATCCCCATGCCGACGTCGCGGATGCGTCGCCGACGTCGCCGATGCATCGCCGATGCATCGCCGACACATCATCGATGCACTGGCGATGCGGCGCGATCCTTCGACCCCATCTACTCGGACCCCATCTAAGAGGACTCTCGGGAGGGTACCCTGCGGTTCTTTGTGTTGTTGGATGTTCTTGTGTATCCTGGGGGAGTGTACCCTCGAATGTTCTTCAGTTTGGCCAGCAGAGGTCTTGTTCTTGAGGGATGTTGTTCTGTCCTAGGTCAGGCCGTACGCCGTTGTTTTTTACCATCTGCGTGCGGTTTTTTTTCTTGGTGCAGGCGGAGGTTGCCTACTTTTTCCGTGCGGGTTCCGTTGCCCGTTGCTCTCCTTCGGGGCGGGGCGCGGCGTCTCGATGGCTTCGCGTGGCTGCTTCTTGCGCGGTCTCAGCTGCGAGTTATTCGATTCGGCTGTGCATGCGCAGTTTTTAGCGCTTTTGCGCGATCACCCCCTCCCAGTGGCTCGTATACAGTATGCAACATTGGCTTGTCCGCTTGTTGGTCGGTTGACGCGATGGCCCCGCCCGCGCATCTGTCCCGCATTCATCAGTATTCTCAGGAGGGGAAAAGCACACAGACACAATTAAGCGTCGATTCCCCAGAAACTATGGGAAAACATGGGAAGTGGGGGGAAGCAGAAATCCCAAAAATATGGGAAAATATAGGGAATCCTGTCATTTGTGTGTATTTATTTGTGTGTCCCTGGGCCCCTTTATGTTCCCCCGTCCGTCCCATTCTCCCATTCGCTTCGCACAGAGGTGGCGCGCGCGCGCCTTGCACCAACCCGTCGCCCACTTCGTGGCAGGGCCACATCGGGCTTCGGACGTCCTCGAGGACCCCCTGAGACCCTGGGGGCTGCCGAGGCCCCAGGGAGCGTGAGATGCCGCCCCCTCCCCAAACAAAAAAAACAAGAACACGTCCTCCCTCCTCCTCCTCCTCCTCCTCCTCCTCCTCCTCCTCCTCCTCCTCCTCCTCCTCCTCCTCCTCCTATCCCTCCCTGCCTCCCTCCCTCCCTGCCTCCCTCCTCCCTCCCTCCCTCCCCTCCCTCCTCCCCGCCCCTCGTCCGCCCGCCGCCGCCTCAGGCTGCCGCGGCGCCGCCGGCCCCGCCGGCGCCGCCGACCGCCCCGAGGGCGCAGGCCACGGGGGTGGCTCCCCTCCTCCCCTCCCCCCCCCCTCTCTCGCCTCGCCCTTTCTCGCCCTCGCCCTCGCTGCCCCCTCCCCGCTTCCTCTCACCCGTCGCTCCCGGCCCTTCGCCTATCCTCCCTCCCCCCTCCGCCCCCGTGCGCTGCCCCCCCCCCCCCCCCCCCGCCAGGCATTCGTTCCCCCGTTTGCATGCCTCTCCTCCTCGTCCTCCTCCTCCTCTCCTCCTCCTCCTCCTCCTTCTCCTCCTCCTCCTCCTCCTGCCCCGCCTCCCGCCTTCCTGCGGTCCTCTTCTCCCTCACCACCGCTTCCACAGCCGCTCCGGCTCAGCCCATTGAGCCATGAGCCTGCAAGCGCGTGCGTAGGAGCGGCCCGCGCTTGCGAGCCTGGAGCGGGCGAACCGCTGCTTCGGGAGGCGGCCGATGGTGCCACCGCCCGACGTGCTGCCAGGCGCGACAGCGCACTTATTGGGTGCAGTTGCGGCTGCAGGGATAACAGGGCGTCACGGGTCAAGTGTCGGAGTTGCGACAAAGTTGCCCCCCTTTACCGCCCCCCCGCGAGTCGTTCTGGCAGCTCGGAAAGCAGCAGAGGCGGCAAGTGTCCTTCGGTGTCGAAGCCGCGAGGCCCCAAGGTCGCTGGGGCTGCCTGGCCAGGTAGCCGCCCGGCAGCTCCGCTTCGTCCAAGAGTTGCGTGTCAACGCGGCAGAGTTCAGCGCAGACCCAGCCCCCTGTGTGACCCCGCCATGTATCCGACGCAGTCAACGAGCGCCAGGGGTGCAGGCAAAGTGAGCATCACCAACCTGACGAATCAAGGCAAGGGCTTGAGTGGGGCAACTGACGGTGTTGGCGATTAGATTTACTTCAAGGCTGTGCTTGGGTTCTTCGCTCGAGTACATGTTATGCATTGTTTTGGAATGTTTCATTCTGTTTCGAGTATTTACCTAACAGCGAAGACTGATAGGTTTCTAGTGGGGTCAAAAGAGAGCATCATGACTCCTCATGGGGGTCGGGGCGGGACCCGGGGCAGCTGCCGTCGAAGCCCAAATCGCCTGGGACATCCTCGCAAAATCGTTTTTGGCGCTGCTAGAACTCATTCCCGGCGTACATTTTGGATGCCCGGAGCCAACTGTAGGCCACTTCGTGGTTTTCGAGTTCCCAGATTTCCATTCCCGGGCCACATTTTGAATGCCCGGAGCGAACTGTAGGCCACTTCGTGCTCTTCGACTTCCCAGAACACCATTCCCGGGCCATATTTTGAATACCCGGAGCCAACTGTAGGCCACTTCGTGCTCTTCGAGTTCCCAGAACACCACTCCCAGGCCACATTTTGAATGCCCGGAACCAATTGTAGGCCACTTCGTGCTCTTCGAGCTCCCAGAACTCCATTCCCGGGCCACATTTTGAATACCCGGAGCCAACTGTAGGCCACGTCGTGCTCTTCGAGTTCACAGAACTTCATTCCCGGGCAACATTTTGAATGCCCGGAGCGAACTGAGGCTGAGGCAGGCTGCTGCTGCTGAGGCAGGCTGAAGCTGAGGCTGAGGCAGGCTGAGGCTGAGGCAGGCTGAGGCTGAGGCTGAGGTTGAGGCTGAGGCTGAGGCTGAGGCAGGCTGAGGCAGACGCTGAGGGAGGCTGATGCTGAGGCAGGCTGAGGCTGAGGCTGAGGCTGAGGCTGAGGCAGGCTGAGGCTGAGGCTGAGGCTGAGGCTGAAGGCAGACTGAGGCTGAGGCTGAAGGCAGGCTGAGGCTGAGGCTGAGGCTGAGGCTGAGGCTGAGGCAGGCTGAGGCAGGCTGAGGCAGGCTGAGGCTGAGGCAGGCTGAGGCTGAGGCAGGCTGAGGCTGAGGCTGAAGGCAGACTGAGGCTGAGGCTGAAGCAGGCTGAGGCTGAGGCTGAGGCTGAGGCTGAGGCTGAGGCTGAGGCTGAGGCTGAGGCTGAGGCAGGCTGAGGCAGGCTGAGGCTGAGGCTGAGGCTGATGCAGCTGAGGCTGAGGCAGGCTGAGGCTGAGGCTGAGGCTGAGGCTGAGGCTGAGGCTGAGGCAGGCTGAGGCTGAGGCAGGCTGAGGCTGAGGCCGAGGCTGAAGGCAGACTGAGGCTGAGGCTGAAGCAGGCTGAGGCTGAGGCTGAGGCAGGCTGAGGCTGAGGCTGAGGCAGGCTGGCTGAGGCTGAGGCTGAGGCTGAGGCTGATGCGGAGGCAGGCTGAGGCTGAGGCTGAGGCTGAGGCTGAGGCTGAGGCTGAGGCTGATGCAGGCTGAGGCTGAGGCAGGCTGAGGCTGAGGCCGAGGCTGAAGGCAGACTGAGGCTGAGGCTGAGGCTGAAGCAGGCTGAGGCTGAGGCCTCTGAGGCTGAGGCAGGCTGAGGCTGAGGCTGAGGCAGGCTGATACTGAGGCAGGCTGAGGCTGAGGCTGTGACTGCGACTGCCGTTGCCACTGCGACTGTCATCGCGAATGCGACTGCGACTGCGAGAGCATGAGAATTCTACACCTGGATTCTCATCTGGATCTCAAGGGGAATGTTTCCATATATGCTTCTACACATCGCGGTTAGGTTGCTTTGCCGGGATAATTTATTTTTTTCGCCCAAAATCCCCCTGTAGGCGGACATGCCCAAACTAAGAATTGGAAGGGGTCGACACCGCCAACGCCCAGCCCGAGGCTGCGGAGGTGGCCGCCCAGGCCCAGGCGAGCGAGGCCAAGCCACCGACAGTTCAGACGGCGAGGGGAGATGTCGAGTCGAGAACCTCAAGAAGAGACTACACAATGCCCAGCGTCGGTGCTACATTGGAGGAGGAGCTGCAGGCGGCCAAGGACGGCACCAAGCATATTAAGCAGGACCCGTCCGCGGCCTAGGAGATCCTGGCGAAGGCCCAAGCCAGAGATCACTCCAACCCCATCGCGGCGCTCACAGCGGGGCTGAAGCAGGCCGCGGTCTAGTCTCAGGCTGAGGAGGACGCGATGACTGTGCTGGAGGGCCTCCAGCCGAAGGCCGCGGCGGCAGCCAAGGGGTCAGAGCCGCTTGCGGTCCCAACTGCTCGTGCTGCTGTTCCTGCTGGCGTCAACCTTCCAACGGGAGATGGAGTCACGTATAACATCGACGTGGAGGTGCTGGGTGAGGACTTCGATGAGAACCAAACGGCCTTCAAGGGGGCAGGGGGCGCCCTCCGAGCAGCAGCTGTAGAGCAGCGGGAGGACGCCACGAGGAAATACGCTCTGGCAGCAGCTGCGCTGAGCGTCGAAAGGACGAGGAGACGACGACGCCTGGGAGGATGCGCCGAGCTCGGGGAGTTCAGCCTATTCTGCTGCCGCCGACTTGTTATGCAGGCGTGGCCACAAGATGGCATCCGACCTCTGCGGGCTTCGCGAGGCTTTGATGACAGGAACGGTCTGCTGACGCTGTCAGGGGGCTCGCCGCCGCCTGACGGCTACGTTGGCTGCCTGCATCATTCGACATTTGGGGGCCTGGCGGGGGCGTGCCACGGGGCCCGCGGCAACGACGAAAGCGAGGCGTTCAGGGCAGACGGTGCGGGCATACACACTCTCTGGTCACCCTGGGTTGCGCGGGGCCCTGGGAGGCGGAATGCTTGTCGAGCATCGTCGAGGAACTCGACGCAATGCCGCGCGCGTTGTTAGGGCAGTATCATCCGCTCAAGGGCCCACGGGGGACTCGGAATGCAGCAGGGTGGGCGCGCGCCAGAGGCTACCATATGACGCCTGGCAGAACCCGAAGCACTGGGTCAGCAAGCGTTGAATCTACCGCTGGTGTGATGGCTAGAATCGGCTTGCACGGCCGTTTTGTTGGGGTGGGATTGGGCAAGCTTGGCGTCTCGCCCAAGCTCTTCGATAGAATGAAAATCCTCCGAGCCAAAGTGACGTTCCAGCAGGATGTCGATGTCGTGTCGGCGCACGGCCAGGTAGGGCACTCTGCCAGGTTTTTCTCTTGGGGGATCCAAGGACAGCTGGGAGCGTTCCACCGCCGCAGCCGCGCGCCCTGGGCCATCGCTGCTGACTTCGACCATGAGCCGTCAGATTTCCGGTTGCGCAAGTGTGTGGAGCTCTTGAAGGCCACCCTGGTTGCGCCCGCGGGGCCCGCGTGCTTTGCCGGCGTCCAGGGTTTCTGCTTGGACTATTCCGTGGTGTCCCAGTGCCTGGCCGACCTCGTTGGGGCTGCGCGTGGGCTTCATGGCGTTTTTGCAGTTCTTCGCGTTGCGATTTCCATCGGGATCGGGGGGCCATCGCTCTCGATGCCGATTCAGGTAGTCATGGAAGCCCCTCCCCACTGCCCAGATAGCGGGGCGTCGGCGGGAGCCCGTCGCGCGCGGGCGGAGATCGGCAGCCGCGCAACACGCAGCCGCGGGCCAAGGGCGCGCTTGGCAGCGGTGGTTGGGGAGAACATGGGGCGCGTCCTCTCCGCGCAGTTTGACATCGTGGGCGACGGGTCGGAAGGCTCGCGATCCGAGCTGGCGGCCGAGCCAGGAGGGGGGTCCGCCGGCGGAGTCCGCGCGCAGGGTGCAGGCGTCTAGGCGCGGCGAGAATATGCGCGCGCGGCGCAGATGGGCAGCGGTCCTAGACCGGAGCCAGACGCTGGATGAAGGGCGTAGACAGGCAAGGATCCAGGAAGTGGTGCTCGGCAGCATGGGCTTCTCGGCGCTAGGCGACGCTTCGCTTAGGTCTTCGCCGGCGGCGCCTCAAGGGCCGCGCCGTGCTTGGCCCTTGAGCGGGTGGATGGTGCATGGTAAGCCGGTGTGCCAGGGGTGACCGTGGGCGAGCTGGGCTTCGTGCAATGACGGCGCCTCGCCGTAGTCGGGCGGGGCGGCCACGCGGGCGCGCGCGGCGCGCCGCGGCGGCCGCGCCGCGCGTGCTCGGCGAGGTAGACCCCGTCGTGGCTGGCAGTTTTGCCGGGGGACAGCCCCCGCAGAGCGCGCTAGCAGCCCGGGGCGGCGCGCGGGGTCGGGGGGGGCGGGGGAGCGGCGGGCGCGCGGCGCCGCTCAGGAACGACCCCGAGGTGGGGGGGGTCGCGGGCGCCGCAGGCGGCGAGGTCGGGGATGGCGCGGCGGTCGGGCAGTAGGCGGCCAGCGGGCACAGCTGTCGGAATCGAGCGCGGCAGTCGTTGCTCCAGGAGCTGGGCCGCCTCGAACTGTCGAACCTGGGCGGGGCGGCCCTCCCTGGACTTGCGCGATGGTGCGATTTCTCGCCGCGACAGGAGCGCGCGCGCGCGTGCGAGGACTTGGGTTCGAACGTTAAGACAGCTGCGCTGGAGGCGTTGGGGAACGCGGCGATGTCGAAATGGAGAGCGCGGGCGCGGGCCTCCGTCATAGGCGGCGGGCGGTGGGCGGTGAGTCCGCGGGCTCCTCGCCCAGGTGCCTGGCGCCAAGTGGCCGCGCGCGCCCGCGGGCCGGGCTCTGCGCGGCGGCACGGCTGGCGGCTGCGATGATGGAGGGCGGGGGCTAGTGCTGGAGCCTCGGGGCGATGGCAAGGGGGGCGCCGCGCAATGTCAACGTGCTGCTGCGGACCAGGCGTGCTTGCGCTGGGCGGGCCAGGCGCGCGCACGGGCCCTTCGGGCATCGAGCGGGGCTCGGGATCGACTGCGCCGCCCCGCGATCATTCGGCGCGCTGGGCGACGACTTCCCCGAGCGGCGAGCGAGCCCGATCATGGTGGCGCCGGTGGCGAAGATCGCGACGACGATGTGAGGGGCGTCGCTGGCGCCGTCTAAGAGATGGCCTGCGGCTATGTTTTCTTGACGAGCCTGGCGGCCCAGGCGTCGTGCCCATTTGCCTTCGCGGGCCCCGTCCTTCGCGCGCGGGGCGATGCGGGGCGGGGCCCTGGTCAGCGAGGGGTGCGGGGGGGGGGGGGGGGGGGCATTTCGCAATGCCGACGTTTCCTGGGACACTCGAAGTCCAGATTGTGGTCTCGCGGGCGTGGTCCTCCAGCTCATGGCCCACTGTTCTGGGCCCAGTGGCGCGCAGTCGGCGACGCTGTCCACTGATCTGGACATGTCCTGCCAGAGGGCGCGTCGCTCAGCGCTTCTCGAGCAGTCGGCCGCCGCGTTGTTCTCGGCCCTCCTCGCGAGGGCAGCGCGCTTTTTATGCTGGCTCGAGGGTGCTCGGCTTCCTAGGTCGCGTCTCCAACGTCTTCGACGCCGCGGGGGCGGTGCTGGCGTGCTGCTCGCTGGCGGCTTCCTTGTCTCGGGCACTGCTGTTCAGATAGCTCGCCGAGGTAGCGGGCGACCGCCCGTCTCTCCTGGGGCGCAGCGCGATCGACGACGCCAGCGCGCAAGCGGTCGGCGCCAGCCTCCGTGTCGTCGGGGAGCTGGGCGGACAAGCATGCTGCCAGCCTGCGGCGCCTGCGCCCTCGTCCGTCGGAGAGAAGATGCACGTCGTCAGTTCCTTGGGCGCTGATTGGCAGGTGGGCTCGTATAGGTTAGCACCTGTGGCGTCCAACTGGGTTCGCATGTGTCCGGGTAGATGTGCCCTCTTGAAGTTCCTTCGCCGGGCTGGAGCTTTCGCGGGCGACGTCCAGTGAGCGGGCCCGCGGGCGACTGCGCCGCGTGGGGCGGCGGTCCGCGGCTTGCCGCGGTCGCAGTTGCAGAGAGATGCGCGCTCAGTCCTGGCCCTCGTTATCTCTCAGCAGAGTTGCGCTTGTTCCAAGATGGGCGGGGGGCAAGGCCCTGCGCTTTTTTCAGACTGTAGGCATGTTGTCTGTGAGTTCTTTCGGGCGGGCTGGGGTGGACTTCCGAAGATCTCGATCCTGCAGGCCGTTTTTGAGGATGCAGTTGGAGTGCTGGCCGCCCTCGGTCGCCCTTGGACTCGCGCGGCTTCGCCGGCGCGGCGTCGCGTTCGCCCCGCCTCCCCCGGGTGCCCCCGGGCGCGCGCGTGGGCCAGTTTTACGCGGCATTCGAGAGTGGGTTGGCCGCGCGCCAGGCCAGAGCCCACAGTGGCGACGCCGACGCGGGGCGTAGGCTCACGTCCTCGGCGGGGCCGCAGGGCCAATGTCATTGCGGATGCCCTCGCGAAGCTAGGCGCGGCTAAGCACCCTTCTGCTCAGCAGGCTGTCAATGGACATGCTGGCCTCGACCTCCTGGATCGGGCGGGGGGCCAGGTGGGTCGGGCGGCAATTGGCGCTTCGGGATGGGCCCGCGGGCCCCGAGCTCGCCATGCCGACGCAGCTGTGCGATCCCAACCTCCGTGTCTGCTGTGTCTCCGATGCTGATGGAACCTTTGTGGTCGCCGCCCCACGCTTCGTCTGCTCTGCGTCGCATGGTGCGCGCTTGGGCCGGCGCCTGCGTCCTTCCGATGCCATGGCGCAGTCAGCCCGCAGATTAAGGATAGGCAACCTTCCGAAGGATACCCTTGCACCCTTGCCTCCTCGGTCCATCCTTGGCCACTTTCGTCGACCGCGCCCTTTCGAGAAGCCCCGACGTGGCATTCCAAGGCCCTTGCGTCTTCGCCGCGCATCCTCATGGCGCGGGCCGACCGTCTTGCGCGCTGGCTTGGGGTTGAAGCGGAAGGTGGCGAGGCTGTTTGAGGAGCTATTTCCCAGGTGGTTTTCCGGGCACCAGGAACGTGGACGGATGGGGTGGTGCCGGCGCTCTGGCGCCATAGCCCCGCGCAGGGCCGCCCCCCTGGGACGACGCCAGCGCAGCCTCACTCCCAGTCTCCAGTGTTTCGTTTCCAGGAGGGGAAAAACAACGCAGATACAATTGCACGTCGATCCCCAGGACAATATGGGTAAATATGGGAAATCATAGATTTTGTGTCTATGTGTGTCCCTGGGCCTCATTTGCACGTCAAGACATCCTGGAACCGTGGCTCGTTTCATCTTCGGCCGCCCAGAGAGGTGATGTGGCTCAGCTCGCGGGTCGGGCCGCTTCTTTTACCCGCGGCCCGCTCTGGAACGCCCTGGGAGGCCGCGGCCTCCTGGGCCCTTTGCCCTTCGCCCGCGCCCTCTTCGGCCGCTCAAAGAGGTGGGGATTTGGCTCGGCCGACGCCCCTGGGGGCCGCGGCCACCTGGACTTTGGCTCGAGCCCTCGTCGGCCGCGCAAAGAGAAGAGCATGGCTCCGCCGACGGCTCGGGCCGCTGCTTCTCTCCGCGGCCCGCCCTGGGAAAGCCCCGGGGAGGCCGCGGCCCCCGCCCCCCGGGGCTGGGCTTCCGAGGGCGCGCGCCAGCCTCCAGCGCGCGGCGCTATAGGCAAAAGCGCGTCGCGCCGTGGGGCTGGGACTGGCAAGTGAGGAGGAGCGGGGATTCTCTTTCGTTTCTTGTTTGAGGAGATAGTGGGGGCGCGCATCAAGAAACCATTTGCTTTTCGTCAGGGCATCTCCTGGGGTGCTTCGCTCCTCGCGCTGCGCGGTGACTTCCCGCAGCCGTCGAAGGAGCTGCTGCGTTCAGGGTGCTCCGGGCTTCCCCTCAGGTGCACCTCGCGCCCGAATTTTCAGGTTTGGGTTTCTTGCGAGGGTTTCTTGCGGCCGCGCACGCACTGCATTAAATTAGTGACATCGCCACCGCTTCCACCCCGTCGCCAGTTTCTCTCTCTCGCCCTTCCCTCCTCTCCCTCCTTCCCCCCAGCGCCTTTTCCTCCTCATCTGATCATATCACCATCGGTTCCACCCCGTCGCCAGTTTATGTCCCGCCCGTCCCTCCTCTCCGACGAATGCATCAATACACCACCACAGTGCCAAGGCAGGGCCATCCTGTGCCCCAGGATGGTGTACAGACCTTCTTGGCCTCGGCCAGGAGGGCGTATACACCACCATGGGGCCCAGGATGGCCCTGCCTTGGCACGGCGGTGGTGTATAGATGCCTCCTGCCTACTCCAAATTTCGTAATAAAAGGGAGGGGTCTCAACCCTCCCAGACGAGAAGTTTTAGACCCTCCCAGACCATCCATGAAAGGGCGACCCTTTGCCCAGACCCCCCCGAACCCTCCAAGACAGCTCAAGTCAGACCCCCCCCAAATGTGACCCCCCCGACTTCGTTATTGAATCCGGAATATCCTCTCTCCCTTTCCCCCCCCCCGGCGCCTTGTCCGCCTCCTCCGCCTCCCACACCTCCCCCGGGGTCCTCCGCGCCCCATGGCCCGCCGAGGCCGTTGCGGCCAGGGCCCTGGACCAGGCGGGGTTCGCGGCGTCGCGGGCGCCCCGCCATCTCTCCGAGGAGGATCAGGGAGGGAGGGAGGGAGGGAGGAGGGGAAGGGAGGAGGGAGGAGGGGGATCAGGGGGAAGGGGAAGGCTGGGGGAGGGAGGAGGGAGGAGGATGGAGGAGGAGGAGGCAGAGGATGAGGAGGAGGCTTAGCGCATGCAGTGTGCAATTCTTGACGCTTCGCGCATCTCCAACAGCTTGTTGACACGCCCTCTGGACTTTTCCTTGCGGGCCGCAGATCAAAAAAGCATCTCCAACAGCAGCCCGGGTTGACCTCTGACGCCGCCTGCGCCTTCGCTTGCGTCTGCGACGGAAAAAGGTATCTCCAACAGCACGATCGGAGGCTTTCTTGAGGCCTCTTGTAGGCTATCTTGAGCCATGCTCGGCTGGAGGCTGTCGGAGGCTATCCTGAGTCATGCTCAACTATCTTGGATCATCTTGAGGCTGTTTTGAGGCCTCTTGGAGGTCTGTCGGAGGCTATGTTGAGCCCTGCTCGACCTCCTGGGACCGTCTTGGGGGTAAGAGAAGGAGGAGGATGAGGAAGAGGAGGAGGAACAAGAGAGGAGAAAGAGGCGGAAGAAGAGGAGGAGGAGGAGGAGGAGGAGGCATGCGGCACGAGGAAGATGAGGAGGAGGAGGGAGGAGGAGGTAGAAAAAGGAGAAGGGAAGGCACGGACGATGATAAGGAGGATCAGAAGTCGGGCTTTGGAGATATGTTGTTGTGAGAGTCTCTTGAATGACGATCAAGGCCATCTTCGGGGCTCTTGGGGTCCCCGTGGTGCCTTTCGGGGCACTCTTGGGGCCCCCTTGGGGGTCATTTTGGAGGTCTTTGGGCCCTCTTGGGGCCCATTGGAGGGGTCTGGGAGGCCTCTTGGGCCCCATGCCTCAAAAATAGGGGTGTCCTCAATTCAGCCCCTTCCCCCCCCTCGGAGACTCAAACGTGGCATCTTGGGGCCCTCTTGGGCCGGTCTTGGAGCGCTCTTGGGCGCTCTTGGGGCCCTCTTGGGACCCCCTTTGGCGCTCTTGGTGCTCTCTTGGGCAGTCTTGGGGCCACCTTGAGGCTTCAAAACCCTACAGGAAGCGAAACAGCGAGAATGCACAGCACATCGGGTTTCCCTAGGTGCTTGAAGATTTTGACATCTTGGAGGGTGCTTAGAAGGGCTCGAATGGCACTTGGAGCAGTCTTGGGGCTTTGGCCATCTTGTTGGCCATCTCGGGCTCTCTGAGGCTTTCCTGGGCCATCTTGGGCCATCTTATGCGCTCCAATTTGTCGCGGCCCCCCCCCTCCCTCCCACGCCCAGGGGAGGGGATGGGTACCTATGGGGGAGGGGGAACCCCCTCCCCCGAGCAAGGGAAGGATGGGTTTTGGCAGAGAGAAGACAAGACTCGTTAAACCACCTACGCCCAGAGGGCTGGTGGGATTCATCGCTGCAGTTCATGCCCCTCGGTCCCTTGCGTGATCTACCAGCTCAGACCGTGGCGTTGCAGGCCCCAGCCGACTGCGTCTTCTAGCGAGTGACCGTTCTAGAAGCTTGGATCGAAGTTGTCCCACGTTGGAGAAACACACGCGCCCCTGGAGCATCGATTCTGCAATCCTTCTGTCTGTCTTCTTGGAGAAAGGCGGTGCTTTCGGAGGCCCAGGCTCAGCTAAGAGCAAATTACGAACGCGGGGCAGGGGTCGGTCGATGCCAGCCTGTGTGCAGGTTGGAAGTGTGGGAGTGGACGCATCCTCGGAACATTTTCAAATGGAGGCGGGAACCCGACGAAGGTCAAGGACAGTAATTCATGCCAACGAACGTTTTCATTGATCGGCTGGTTTTTCCGAACAATGGGCGTTCTCCAGGTACACGTCAGAGTTTTGCGAGCTATCTACAAACATACCCGATATTGGTCCGCATGGCATGATGCCCAAGGCGATTTATTTTCAATAACGTTGTTTTGTGGGAGGCGTACAGGTACCTTGGTTCGTGTTCCGGCACGGACCCTCTGGGACGCACGGAGGAAGGAGTCGAGGCGTGCTGAGGAGGGCACGGCCTGGCAGCTGAGGGGGAGTGAATGGGAGGCTCATATTCAATCATACTCAAAGCTCACTCTGACTCATACACCCACTCGCATTCGGATTTACTCGTCTTCGTCGGCCCTGTCGCCCATGTGGACGCGCTATTATAGTCAAACGCTCATGAACAGACGCTCACTACGGCATGACATAAAACATGAGATGCACATATGGGGAGCTCCACGCAGTGAGTAATTGTGGAAGGGTTCTCGTGGTTGAGCTCCTGCTGTATTGAAGAAGCCCTGCCAGGCAGCACTCGGCACTCTGCCCCGCCTCCACGTGCAGGGGGTCACGAGGCACGAAGCGACCCAACACACACCAGCACGGCGCGCATCATTCAGTCCGTAGCTTCGGCCGGAGCCATGTGTGACAAGGTTGCAGTTTTTCAGCACAGCCTCGCGAAGTCATGTTCGATCCTCTCGCCCTGCTCTCCGACGGCGAGGCCAGCGCAGAAGAAGAACCTGGGGCTACAGCCGCTGATCGCGCGGATCATGCAAATGTCGACTAGACGTAATAGTGACCTTTCGCCGGAGTGACTTTTGGTGTGGGCCCAATAGTGTCCCCTTATCGCTAAACGCAAAGCCGTAGCAGCGGCTTGCGCGCCTGGGTTTGGCCACCCCGCGTCCTCCGTTCAGCCGCGCTCCAAGGGTCACTCTTGAATAGGGTCACTCCTGCGTGTAGCCGAGAATGAGCCAGCCAGCGCCTCGTCGAAACGAAAGCTCGGAAGCATCGCTTTCGATGACCTGGAGAGTGCGGGCTACAAGCCAGCCGACCTGCTGACGTCGGCGTCGTACCTCCACGATGCTGCGGGGCAGGAGGGTCGGAAACCGAAGCGGCACGCTCGGGCTGCTGAAGAAGCTGTCCATGAGAAGGAGGAGGCTGATGACAATATTTAAGTCTGGCATGCCCTTCTACAGGAGGCATATCCAACATCAGTTCAAAAATGGTCAGGGCTCGATGCTTCTAATATGTGTGACTATGTTTGAATGTTTGTTGCCTATGTTTCCTTGTTCCAGAATCCGCCTGTAGGAGGGCATGCCCGACCTAAGATAAACAGGAGGAGACTGTGGACAAGGTGGGATCATCCGTATCGGGCCCTGCGCCCGACCAGAGCCCGCTGGTGCAGATCTTCCAAGCGAACGGGGCATCGCGGCCAGTGCCTTCGCCGTGGGAGACCTTTGAGAGTTGTGGGCAGGAGAGGTTCCCAGCATCTCTTTGTGAGGCTTTGGCTTTGGAAGGATTTCACAAGACCACGCCGATA